TCAGTGAGTAGTTTAAATGAATGTTGCACCGTGCGATGAATTATTTAGTACGCAAGGAGATTGTAAAAAAAGTAAATACATGTGAGATCTGTACTGATCTGTAAATGAGTTAGAAGGCAGGCTAACAGGTCAGGCTGTAATGACTATTTAGCGCTTTAGGAGAAACAAGAAACCAAAAGGTAAGCCTGAAACAATAAGCATGTGTTCATCTTAGTAAACGCTTTCCCTGAATAGTAACTGTCGGCAGAAATGAAATAAATAACACAAAAACAACTGACCTTTCCACACTGTACGCGTGCAGGATGCCATGTCTGGGAATTCGGCTAGTCCGTGTGAAAACAGCGACTCGTGCTAAACAGTTCCGCCTGGGTACTTCTTCTTCTTCTCTCGGTTTTTGGCGGATTGCAAACAACATTAAGGTGCATACCGCCATCTACTGTACATGAGTGTGAATCATCATATCATTCCATCTCGTAACTCGACGTATATCTATGATCTAATTAAAATAAAAAAACATAAAATAAATAAAACAAAACCGCCTGGGTTGTCTTGTTGGATAAATGGATGCTGAGTTTTCCACTGGCTTCTAGATATTTAACTGCAATACATGTCTATATAAGACAACTGATATAATTTATAGTAATACTAATTAAAGAGTGTCTTAACACAAAAGCATATTGTATTTTATTTATTCATTTTATTACTATGTTTTATGAGTTTGAATATCATTTGTAGTAGCTTGACAGGTGACATTGCAGGGGAGAGGATCCGGGGGTTCATGTCGCGTGCGGACGAGCATGAGCGGAAGCAGCGTTTGTTGTTCTTCTTTCTGTTTCCGAGACGTTCAGGGTCTGATCGGCTTCAACAGCCGTGTCTGCATGTCTCTACCATTTATTCCCTCTGTAAATCGTTTTATACCGCTCCCGAATGAAGGTAAGACCAATTCAGACTTTGTTTTATTGCTGTGGACACTATGTCGAGGTTGTCCTGGGATACATGTGACAGTTAAACCTGCTTCCCTTGAACCTTCATACCAACTCCGGCTACCCCCGCAGTCAGCCTCCGGGCATGAGTCGTGCGCCCTGCTGCCGCTAGCCAAACAAATCCAGCGCCGTGCTTTGAGCTCATTGGGACTTTAACCTGTACGTACTCTGTTTAGACGATATTTAATAGTTTAACGTTTCCAAATGTTTAATTTGGCATAACCAGAGCGCGTGTTTACCTCGCTGCCAGGTGTGACAGCTGGTGAGCGGTTGACCGAACTTCACGTGAACGGGCCCCTGTCCATGCAGCGCTACGTGCTTGTCACTTTTGACATTACAGCTATGTTTGGATACTCAGCTGTTGGTGCGGTTGCCATCGCTATTTTCCATTTGCAACAGCTCCTGACATGTTAAAATAAATAACAGTTGGCAAAGCAGCAGATGCTGGGGTTTACCCAAATAAACTAAGTACCTTTACTCAAGTACTTACAAATGTTTTGTTACTTTGTCATTTTCCTCCACTACAATCAGAGCTAAATGTTGTACTTTTGCTCCACTACATTTATTTTGCACCTTAAGTTACTTTACAGATTTGGATTATGATGTGAAATATAATCAACTCTTAAATAAGACTTTAGTTACACCTGCAGTAAATACACAAGCTACCCTGCAGTATACACAGTCATTAAAACTAGCATGCACCTCTACCAGCTTTGATGACACTTTAATGCATTAATAATTATAATCTAAAATATATAATATGTTGTTCTGAAATGCGCCATCTGCATAACGAGTTTTACTTTTGGCACTTTAAGTATATTTTAATGCAAATACTTTTGTACTTTTACTTGAGTAACATTTTGAATGCAGGACTTTAGTTGTAAGTTAATAACAGGGTATTCCTACTCTCTGGTATTTCTACTTTTTGTTAAGTACAATATCGGAGTACTTCTCCCATCTCTGCCATTTGGTGGTCTGTCTGCCCCCAGAGCCACAAATGTTTTTGTCAACACTAGACATGGGAGGAAAGCCTTCTTTACATCTTGTATGCTAGTGACATGAGCCGTTGCCATGTCACTTGTGACCCATGAGTGTATAAGCAAGTTATGTAAGTCTTCTCCAAACCTCCAGAGTAACCTAATGGCAACTAACTGCATAATATCAGGCCCCCTTTGCCAACCTCTTAAGCTCATACACTCTGTGTACAAGTCGGTGGATAATAAATAAAAAGTAATGCAATAGCACGTGCCTTTGAGCAATGCAGGCAGCAAACTGACAGCAGGGGAGTTTAAATAACGCTGGCTGGTTCCTGGTAATAGAGTAGATGTGCTAGGCTACATGAGGCATAAGGACGAAGTAAGAAATTATAACTTTTTTTTGTCTTAAAAAAAAACTTGATCTTGATAGGAAAACAAATCAGATAAAGGTTTTTATTCATTTTCAACAACAGCAAGTTTAGGAATCCTTGTTCCAAAGGCTTATATACATACTTTTCTTGAAGTACAGGGCTGTAGATAAGAGTCAAAATTATAATCAAACCTAGTTCCAATGAAGTTGAAGGTCAAAATAAAAGTGACTCCAGTTCTGTTGAAGGCCACAATGTGCATTGCATTCTTTAGTTGGTCGGATTTAATTCTTTATAGACCTTTCAAAAAATGTGTGACAAAAAACAACTGTGACGTAAAGGTCGAATTTCTTTCATTTGTCTGGTTAAGCTAGGCAATATGGTTTAATCAACATCACACTTTTACTGAAATCAAAGTAGTATTTACACATGGTAAAAAATCTAAACTGATGCCCAATCCACAGCAACATTGTAGAGCCAAATCTCTGCTCACATGTAAATAATACACTTGTAAGTTTAGATTAGAAGTACAACATCATACTACTCCTAATATCATACATTTATTAATCGTATTAGTAGTTTCTAAGGCAAAACTATTTGTTCTGATTCCAGTTTGTCCAATGAGAGGTTTAGCTGATAATCTAAGTTGTATATCTCTGTCAATTTATTATGTTGGTCATTGAAGTGACGGCATTTCATATTTATGGACACACTTTATCAGTCAAATAAGCCAGACAAATTATTGTCAAATGAATCAATACAAAATTGTTAAAATTGATTTCCAAAACATAGCTGCCACTTTAATATGTTAACAACCACTTGTGTAATTGATACAGTATGAGAACACATTTTTTTATTTTTGTCTAAAAGCAAATGTTTTCATTAGTTATTAGCTATTACTATATTATTAGATTTTAAAATTAAATTGTTCAAAGGAATCTTAATTATTTCACTTGTTTTTTGTCATTAAGCTTTATAATATTATGTTACTGTGTTGAATCCCTTTCCATGTAGAGTGCCATCTCAGTGGCAGCTAATGTATGTTTTTCGCTGTCTTCCTTTAGATTGTAATATCTGTACATTTTGCTTGTTTTTCAGATTGATAGGTATGCCAAAGGAAAAATATGATCCTCCAGATCCCCGCAGATGTTACACCATCATGCCAGCGGAGGAGGTGGCCAATGGGAAGAAGTCTTACTGGGCCGAGCTCGAGATTTCTGGTCAGTCTTACTTTGTTTCTCTGAAACTGCTCCCATACAAAGAAATCCCAATGTACTAACACAGACAAACCGAAGGAAGAGGTAGCTCCTACTTTAAGAATCTACTTTTCTTCGTGCTTGAATATCAAACAGTTGCATGCGCTTTTATTGTTATTACTTTTCATCCCACTCACTCTGTATTCAGTGTCTTCAGATGCTGCATGTTTTTCAGTTTGTAGGATTTGGAAGATTGAAATGAGTGGTGTTGCAGGTCAATCAACCGAAAATAAGTTGAAATTACAGTCTACTTATCATTTGAGTGATTTATTAGCAAAATGCCTTGTTTTTTCATTTTCTGATATTTTTCATTTTTGTTCAAATGATTAGAAGAAAATGTATCTTATCAGTTGCAGCCTACTGAGCGCAAACATTTTCTTACGAGGATGTTGTTGTTTAAATGATTCTTGGTTAAGATAATTTAAATTATTTTGACTCCCAAACCTTTTAAAAGGACCACAGTTCGTCCTGGTTTGGATGACAACAGCTGAATGAATGTCGAACAGGAAGAGGAGTATTAATGGTTAACAAACTATTCTTGGTTGGTTAAAAGTCAAAAGCTTTATGTTATTTGAACTTTTATCTCATTAAATATTAATTACATATTAAATAGTTTTAATTCAGTATTTATATCTTCACTAAAGTAATTGTCCCTAGAGTTCTCTGCTATACAGTAGTCTGGTTTCAGTGTCTCACGATGCTCATGGTTCTGTTTCACGTGGTTTTCCATGATTAAAACAAGTCTATTGGGGCTGATCAACTGAATGTAGTTATTGTTTCTGCATGAAAATAAATGAAAGGGTTTGAGACTACACAGATACGCCGCAGTTCAGTCAATTTCAGTATGTTGAAGTGTGTTTAGTTCGATTGATCACACAGCTAAAAATCTGTGTTTCTTTTTGAGTTTTGGAAATAATATCCACTTTTGAAGACAGTCCGTTCCCCTGTTTGCCTTTGCAGGACGGGTTAGGAGCCTGAGCCCCTCGTTATGGACCCTCACCCACCTGACGGCGCTGCACATCAACGACAACAACCTGAGCCGCATCCCCCCCGACATCTCCAATCTTTCCCACCTGGTGTTCCTGAACCTGTCGTCCAACAAGCTCCGCAGTCTGCCCGCTGAGCTGGGCAACATGGTCTCTCTCAGGTAGACATCACTGACATCCGACTGACACAAGGACCAACCAAGAGAAAATGTATATATATCACGGAACATAAAAGTTAACCTGCCATTATGCTTTGTTGCAGAGCTTTGCAAAGGTCACCTATTATGCAAAATCCACTTTTTGATGAACATGTGTCCTCTCTGTGTATAGAGATTGTGAAAGTTTCAGGAACAAAGATTCACTCTCTTTTTTTCCTGATCCATTTATATAAAAACCTCTCTGAAAAGCTGATCAGATTTTGGCCACTTTGTGATCATAAGGTTTTTTTGGCTTGTGTAACCATTAGCCAATCACCAACCAAGGTTACCCCCTATCTAAAGTAACAGACAGAGAATCAGCACTTTGGAAACAGGGCTGAAACAGAGGGGATTATGGGATGCTACAATGATCTGTTTGGTATTCCAGCCAAACACTTCAGAGACATGTTTTGTATATATCTGAGAACTATAATATATTGATGAAAAAGAGTATAATAGGGGACCTTTTAAGAATAACTGAATATTCTGCGATAGGGCTAGAAGATAAGGATGAAATCTCCGTATTCATTATGTCATTTTAAATGTCAGTATGGGTTTATGATGTAACCTTTGTGGAAGTTCAACCCGATTTTGAAATACATTAAGATCTGTGTTTTTTTATCATATGAATTGAATACCTTACAAAGCAGGGTTCTTGATCATTATTATTAGGTAGTTATGAAGGTGTATTAGCTTCGGATAAACTTCAGGACAATAACAGTGGATTTCTCCACATTAATTACATACAGGCGGTTCTCTTAGTGGCTGAGATTAACATTAATCAAAAAATATTTGTCTTTTATGACCGACTTGTGTGAACACTAAATATATAAATGTCGTTTAACTATGTGCCCGCTCTATCAAGCAACCCTATTCTGTAATTATTCATTCATTTAGTTTTTTTGATTACAGATTTGAAAACATCGTTGCTTGCTTTAAAAGTAGCACAATTCATTATGTCAAACCTTGGAAAGTATCTAGATATCCCTGCCCTAATGCCAAAGACTGGCAACTGAATATGTGTCGCCGTTTGATGTCTATGTCTGGACCACTGCGTAAAAAGGAGGGTTTCTGCCCCGTTACTTCTCTTCTTACTTCTACTGTATAAGAATAAAACACGGAGGACGGAGATCTCTTTTTCTCCCCCTCTTCTGACAGCCCAGCAGCTGATCTCAGAGCACGCTCCCCTCTCTTGCAGGGGGGCGTGGTCAGCTGCAGCTCACAGAATCAGCCCCCTGCAAAAACAGGGCTGGAAAGAGCAAATAGAGCGAAATGAGGCATGGCTAAAATGCAGGATCTGTTTGGTATTTTCAACAAAAAACTATATTTATATACTTTATATAAGTATGGCCCTACAATATATTGTTCAAATATAGCATGATATGTCCCCTTTAAGTGACAACTTAGGAAAATGTGATAGATGTTTTGACAGCAGTGATGATATGTCAACGACAAGGAATTACTGCATTGTTAAGACAAAGTTGTGAAAGACAGAAATCAAAAAGGTAAATGATGTCTTGTTTTCTTGCAGGGAATTGCTTTTGAACAACAATCTTTTACGAGTTCTGCCTTATGAACTTGGGAGGCTTTTCCAGTTACAAACCTTGGGGCTAAAAGGTGAGGCTATTTGTATTATATTCAGTACATTGATTTGGACTAGCGCTGCACAGTTTGAAAAGATATCTAATTGCAATCATTTGGACTGATATTGCAATTGGGAATGATTCGTGACATTGTGTGATTGATGATTTTAGCATCATAGTTCTCATTGTCACTGAAATGTATTTAATGATATTTAATAAAAAAAATCTGTTTTGTTAAGTCTAAAGAACATGATTTGTAGACCAGGATGTCTCTGATGCTTCAAATTACTTCATTCAATATCTAATGATATTTGAACACATAGTTAGCCAAATAGTATTCTTCCTGCAGTTTGAGTCCATATTAAAGTTTGGATAAAATGTAGATCGTCATTATTTCTTTACAGTACTTTCCTAGAATGTATTGTCAGGTAGTTTATGATATGATTGATTTGCAGGAAACCCTTTGTCCCAAGACATCCTCAATCTGTACCAGGAGTCGGACGGAACCAGGAAGCTTTTGAACTACATGCTCGACAATCTAGCAGGTAAACAGCTGCTCCTCCTGACCACCCGGCTACTAGAACTCATGCATATTTAACCTGCAGTTAATTGTAAACCTGAGCAGGTGTGAGATAGCTAGCAGGTACACCATTGTGTTTGTCACAGATAGTGAGCACTCATACCTCTCCCCCCCCCTCCTTCTACAGTGCACCCAGAGCAGCTCCCACAAAGACCGTGGATCACTCTGAAAGAGCGGGACCAGATGAGCCCCTCAGGTACGTTCAGCGGGGTTAAAGGGGCCCTATTATGCTTTTTGGGGTTTTCCATTTTCTGTCGTGTGTTATATAGGTTTTTTGCATGTAAATGGTCTGCAAAGGATAACATCTCCGAATCTCCCTCAGAGAGAGTTTCTCAAATAGAATAAAAACAAAAAGGTTTTTTAGACAAAATTACATTATTTAATTGTTAGTAGTAAAAGCCAGAAATGTTACAAACACTCCCTCATTTAGCTCAAAAAACAATTTTCCCTTGGTTGTGTTGGCTCTGTGATGTCAGGAATGTGATCTGATGTTTACATAATTGACTCAACAAAAAACCTATTCACAGGCCTGTTATGGCAGGGATGTTAGATCGTATGGTTTCTTTGAGTTGCCAAGAAGGATGAAGCTCACTTGCATCCTTATTCTTTATAAAGAATAAAGCTTATAAAGCACATAAACACACTTTTAGAGCGGCTTTTTAAGTATTTAAAAAAAATAGTTTTACGTGTTGGGGCTACTCCAGAATTTGAGTGGAACAAAAAATAAATAGAAACATAATATTTGTATTCCTTATACCAGTGTTGTAGTCAAGTCACCAATTCACGAGTCCAAGTCACTCTCGAGTCACCACTCTTCGAGTCCGAGTCCAAGTCCGAGTCACCAAGGGAGAGTCGTAGTCGAGTCCGAGTCACCCAAGGAGTGTCCGAGTCGAGTCCGAGTCATCATTACCCGTGTTCGAGTCCGAGTCCAAGTCCGAGTCACCTAAGAAGAGTCCAAGTCAAGTCCGAGTCACAAGTCTTCATGTATTAACCTTCGTGGATATATGTGTTGAAATGTAGCTGCTCCTCTACATTACTTTTATCCTGTCATGTTATACTAATCTGTCTATTGAACTGCTTACAATTCTTGTAATAGGTGCTATACAAATATAAAGCTTATTACTAATCAGGGCTCGACATTAAGGACTGCCCGATGGCCCGGGGCCATCTAGTATTTAGCTCGGGCAATGAAGCCTCACCTGCTGGTTGCCCGATCGGGCAATCTATTATGCCAGTATCATGCAGCTCGCGGATCCAGTAATGAGTGACCCGAAGGTAAAACTAAACATATCTATAACTAGTTTAGGTAGTTTGAGAGTTAATTAAAATAGTTACGTGTGATATTCTAACCTGAAGTGTGTGTTTTGTCCGCTCACCGCTGCATGTGATCATGCAGAGCTGCGTGTCGACTCGTCAGCAGCAGCTGATCTCTCTCTCCCGTCAGATTAGACTTCACTCGCGTTTATGTCCATATCGATCAGATCCAGCTAGTTCTAGCTAATGATATGACTACCT